CCCTGTCACCTATAGGTAGTTTTAGATAAGTTTCTTTCGAATTAGGTACCTAAATGTCAAGTATGGCTTGTGATAATCTATCTTCAAGAGCATACAGTGATGGCGTTAATTGCAATTCAATTATGAAAATGAATGGTAATTAGCGGATTACAACATATCCATTGCTTGGAATTCAAATTTAATCTCCTTCCATATTTTATAAGCAGAAGCTAGCTAATTTTAAGGCTCCATCCTATTTCAAACTAAATATTTTATTTATAATTATTTGTTGAACATAAAATTATTTTACTTAGATATAACTCATTAAAACACATTCCATTGCTTGGCTACATGCCCAGATACGTATTAATTGTAATGATTTGTATTAATTTGAACAATTCATAATGAGTGTTGGACTACACCATGAAAAACCCCCTTCCAATTTGTAAGTCTCACTTTATCTCTTGAGGGAATTTGCAGTTGAGTATTAAAAGAAAAATTTTAAACTGTTGAGCTGTTTCAAGCAATACATTAATACCTTTTTTTATCTAGGAATTAATTAATAACCAAAAAATTTCTAATAATTATGCAATTGCATGAAATTATAACATATATATGTGGAAGAAGATATCTTAATTGATATATTTCTGATGAGTACAATATTTATACACGAATATATTAATTACCTGATAAGTATGAATTTGAAATCTAACACTCTAAACCCTTTCTGTTAGGGTTGTCAGGTTTTAGCCCTATACCTTGTATTTGAATACAAACATAATTAGAAATATCATGATTCTTATACATCCGCTGAGACAAATATCTAGCTAGCTAGAGCAACTCAACATTTTATCCTCCAAGCTGCTTTATACCAAGTCAGGACATCTCGAAATAAATGAGTACCTTAATTAATTTGTCTTTTTATTTTAGTACTAGACATGACATTAGAAAAGCTTATATAATCAATCAACTTGTAGAAAATATAGACGCCGGTTCGCAACCCTCATGAAGATTCGAGGTCGAGGCTTCTTTTAAGTGCTCGACCATGGCGTTTTTAATAAATAACATGGTTATAAATATTTGCTCAAATGAGTATTCCAAATGAACCTAGTTGGTTCGTTCCTGCAAATATAGATCTCAGTCGTTAGTATACTGTTTCTGCACCATGAATCTAATTAAGGATGGCATGAGAATATTGGAAATTTCATAATGGAAAGGAAATATTTCCTTTTACTTTTTCATGTTGATAAATCGATGAATAGAGAATGAATAAAAAATATTAGAAAATACAATTAGGATATATATAGAGCAATCATTCATTACATGATAATAAAAGAAATTAACTGCAGTTACTAAAATTCAAAGTTTGCTTCTTTAAAATAAGCTATCAAAGTATACAACAATCAAGCCAAGCCTATATTGAGACATACAGTCTAAGTGAAGTTGAGGAGGAAGATAAATTAGAACTCTATCCTTTTACTTTAATATATTGGAAAAGGTGGTTCCAAAATAATAACTAGTGCAGTTTTTTTGTGCATGCATGTATGGTATATATACCTACCATTTTTTTAAGTAATAAAGGAGAATGCGTCTTGCATTAAGAAAGTATTGATTTTTGTTTGTGATCAAGGCTTAACAGATTTGGTGATTTAATTTTAAGTGGTTTCTAATTAAAACAGCCTTACGAATCATAATCAATATATATATATATATATATATATCATCCATTAGAACATAACAATAATTGGGCTTAATTATATGGGTATATTGTGGCTTTTTGGCTTATCAAGATGAAGAAGAAGAAATGGGATAAATATATATGTGCATGTCAGGGCATGTAATTTGGCCGAGTTCCCAACACTCTTTCTTCTTCATGAATTACAATATGTGGATAACAGCTACGTACAAAATCGAAATTTTCGTGGAAAATAAGTACCTCAATCATAGAGTAAAGATTGCTTCCTTCATCATCTTCTTCAACTTTGGCTGTTTCCATAAGAAAAATTACAACTTGAACTAGCTAAGGATCGAGATGGACTTGTCAGAAGCTCGAGAATTTATCTCAAGCTTGTAGGTTCTATTTATAGGCAAAGAGGCCAGAAATTAACACGAATTTATAATAACGTGTGCTTTGCATGGTAGTTGGGGTTTTTTATTGGGGGCTAGCCACCGGTCGAGAAAACAATGCCTCAACCCCCATCTCCTCTGTCTTGTATTAAGTCACAGCTAGCCTTCCCATTGCGAATTGAGGGTTTCCATCGACCTTGTAACAAATCTGTTGGCATTGGTAACACCTTCGCTTTGCACTCCTAGATTGTATTTTTTTTAGATGTGCTTTTTAAGATAATTAATTAGAAAATGTTTTCATTTGGGTTGACACTCAAACTGATAATGTGGAACCAAAAATTAAAAAAAAAAGAAGATTATATTACGATTTAGTATTAAGCATATCTCCATTTTGGAACTAGTACATTCATGACAATATAAATTAGTTCTTACAATTTTCCCATCTTGAATGATTGAATGATACATGAGAAGCAGTGATTGGTAAAGGATAACATTGTCAATAATGAATATATAGTTCAAGAGCATTTTTGTAGCTAACCTTAAAAAGTCATGTAAATGAATAGTACAGCAGTATAGTGTAGAAACTAGAAACTTCAATTCCTACGGGATGTCAATTATCTACATGCCCTTGGATTAAGAGACAATTTAGACCAAGGCCAAAGGGTGTGTTTAATTTTGTTGTGCTTCTAAATACAGCTTTATACAGCCAGAGCAAAGTTTTATTTGCTTGGTAAGATAACATTCTTTTTCAAAAAAGTTTACCTAACACTTGTTCTTTTAAAAATTAGCAAAAAATTAATTCCCTCAAGTTATTGAAATATCTCATTAAAAATATGTTTAATTATATTCAGAACATAAGCGATAAGGTCTAATCCTTTTTAACAAGTGTTATCCTATTAATTAGCATATCATTGAGCCAATAACTTCTTAGTATAAAATTAAAATTTGTAACTTATAAGTACAATATGACTTAAAAAAACAAACAAACGATTCTTTGTGGTTTGTATATTGAGACAAAATAAGATATATGCTCGTTGCACGCACGCTGCTACAAAAATGTAACTACAAATCCTAAAAGTTTAACTATAGATCAATTGAATGTTGAGTTAATTATTATTTAGTTCTCGTAATTTAACGAAACTAATAATTTAGTCCTCTTGATTTAGAAAAATATATATTTAATTCCTATATTTTCTTAAATCCGTATCAAATATATTGGAATTTATTGATATTATATAAAACCAAATATATGTAATATTGTAAACAATCAAAAATTTAAGGTTATCTTTACTTTAAGAAAATATTTAAGTTTTTTTAGCCTACGCCTCTAGTTTTTTTTTTTTAATTTAATCTAAAATAATTCAAGTAATTTTAAGAAAATTCTTTAGTCCAGAATAGAGGGGATTTTTTTTTTTTTTTTTTTTGAGTTCTCCAAATTTTTTAGAAATCTAGGAAAACGGAAAACACACAATTTCACAAGAAAGAAAAAAAAAAAAAACACTTTCCATTTTTAATTAATAAATGCGTTTAAATACTGTCCAAAATTTTTTTCCACGATTAGTAATCACAATCGCCCCGCATAGAAATTTGTATAAAAAATCTAAAATCAATTGCATCCCCCAACGATTTTGATGTAGAAATTATAGTCTGATCATTTTCTTTCTAACTGTATGGGAACAGCGAAGTTTATATTGATGTTTTAACTTTGAAGGACATGACTACAGCGCGGATGGTTCCGAAAGCATCGAAGAAAAAAGCACCGAAAATTTTTTTTCACTTGATGTAATTTAGCCTTTTTCACTATGCCTCAAGTCTCAACCTCCTAATGGTAACTCATGGCTGTGCACGTGACTTTCAACATTCTCAAGTAGACCTTTTGATAATTCAACAGTGAGAGAAACACTTCATATTTCCCAACCCCCTTTCAAATGCCTAACAAAACAAAGTCTAATTTCACGTGGTGGTGGGTGAATTTCTACGTTTGGTGAGACATCTCCAGTTCACGCACTGCAAACTGCCCAGAATACATGATTTACCATCCAGTCAATAATAAAAACAACGACGTCAATTTTACCGAATAATTCCACAGAAAACACTTTCATGTTCTCAAATTTCTATTGTAAGTAGGAAAAGAAAAAAATGTTTTTGTTTCTAGCAAAGATCACTATTGCAATTTTTACTGAAACTGATCCGAGTTGATCTAGGACACTCGTAATTCAATTCCTGGAAACCGGGGGAGTGGGTGGGTGGGTGGGGTGTGGTTATCCTTGATCGATATGGAACATACAAAAAGTGTAAGACTTCCTGTCCAAATATCAGACGCGCCAAACCTTCATTTATTCCACACGTGACCTCTACGGCGTACACAGATGATAGATCATAGATCCACATCAACAGCCTAGCAAGAGTGCCAAGCTGCCTGTTGTTCCTCGGCCGCTATGACGACGGCTTGATGCCTAAAACAACAGGTTTTAAAAAGAATAACAAATAACATTTGGAAAGAACATGAAGCATGAAGGTGAGGTGATTAAGGTATTTTGGTAAATAAATAATTTTACCAAATTGATATAAGTTGGTGCGATGTCCAAGTAGCAACTAGCAACTGCTACTTCAAACTTAAATGGTTTAAGACCATACCATTCGTTCAGTTCACTATTGGGGGTAAATGCCAATTCTCCACCACTTAAAAGGTAATAGTTTCTTGAAAATATCTTTCTGATGGAAAAAAGGATACGAAGAAAGCAAAAACAGCATTTCTCATAGGGGGCATGTTAAGAGAACGCATTAGTTCAGGCGCCAAAAATAGCTTTTTACATGTCAGTCACAACTCACAAGGGATACAATTGCCTACCACTCAACACTTCAGCCAAGAAGAAACTGATTCGATGGCAACTCCAACAAGGGTATTCAGTACAGCATGGGCTCAAAACGAGATTCCAATCTTCAAAGTCCAACTAGCTAGACATCATGACGCTATCAATAGTCTGGAGAGCTTGGTTTGCGAAAAAACGGACATCGACATCTGGGTCCTCACTTAGCTCAACCAAACAGGGACGGATTGTCTTCTCTGCAATCTGGGGCAAAATAACCAGTAGTTAAAGAAAAATGGGTAAAAAAAGGAAGTGAAATCTTGGATAAAAAGAAGACTTACAGACTGATCAACTATGGGAATGAGGGATTGCAGCACCTTCGCCACATTGAATTTGATGTTGGGAACCCTGCATAGTGAAATCAGATCGAGCATTCAGAATCCACCCGATTAGAATAAAACAATTTTACAACCCAAATTGACAAGTTTCACACAATCATTACCTATCTTTTGATGCATTGATGACCACTGGCAGCAGTTTAGAACATGTAATTTCTGAACCCATGACAGGAGCAAGCAACGAGACAGCATGTAGAATTGTCATTCGGTACAAATAATGGGAATTGGTGCTCATCTCCAAAACCTGCACACAAGTGAAATGTATAAAATGTCAACATCTAGTTCTTTGGAAGATAGGAACAGACATAAAATGGGACGGGAATAGAAAACAAAAATCAAGCCACCAGAAACAACTAAAAAAATGACCATAGGAAAACCATCAAATATTCAGGAAAGATGCCAAACCATCACCAGGGCATTTGTTTCTAACTGTTAAGACATGATTTCATATTGATCCTAAACCACTGTGTTTCATTCAATAAGTCCAACACCACCACAGGGAAATATATAGCAATGAAATGTCGGAATCATTAGACACTGGTGAAATTCAAACAAACTAGTGTAACACAAACCTGTGGAATTATGTGCTGCATTGCCCACTCAGGACCAAATTCTTCAGCAAGGCGTTTTAAATTGTTCGCAGCAGCATCGCGAATCGAGTAAACCTGCAGAAAATATCCAGACAAGATGATTCCAAACAAAGTTAACCTTCATGACGATGTGATTGGCAGAAAATGTGCCTAATTACAAAAGTTTGTAAAGTAACATATAGAAATTCAAAGATCACATTTTCCTTTTTTTTTTAAAAAAAAAATAAACTTGGAAATAATACTACTAGGAAATACAACAAAGCCAGTAGTAAACAATGGCTAACTAGCTACTTAAAAGATATTCATCTAAAGGTTTGCACAAATTCCAAGAAGAGCAGAAAAGCTCGTAAAGACTTCAACATTCAAGTTCTATGACACAATTTTTTATCTATCTCTTTGAAAATGATCACTGAAAATCTTAGTCTACATGAGAAATTTCAATCATTGTACAGAGATGCATCAAACAAGCATACAGAAAAAAACCGAGATTTAATAGTTGTTTAGTGCGATGCATAAGCAAAAGTGAGAACTGCTGTCACACATGACGTGAAAATACAAACCTTATCCTGTAACCACTGCATGCAAAGAGCGCCAAGTTTATCATCAAAGAACCCAACACCCAGTTGACTTGACAATAAAGGTATGTACTCTATAATTGCAAGTCGGACCCTCCAATGTCTATCCTCTGCAAGCTCAACAATTGCCGGCAATAGTGATTGGGATAGTAGGTCAATTCCGATAACCTGCAGTGAAGATTATTTCCACTTTATCATTGGCAACGAGGAAAATATAGCATTTTGGTTACATATTAACATTAAGCTAACAACATGCCAAGTAAGATTTCTAAGAGCCCACAGAATCAAAAGAAAGGTCAAACCATATCATGTGTTTTGGCAGTGATTACAGCATTAGCTTACTAGATTATATTAATGTGTCCAAGTAATTCCTATCAGACAAAATCTCCAAAGGCATAATTACGCAAGATGTGCTTTAAGGAATGTTTGAATTTATTCGACAACAGAATGCTTGACAGTACTCACTTTGGTAAAAAGTGCAATCCATTAAACCAAACCAAAACACATACAAATGACTAAAAGCCCTTGAGTTGCCTTAAGCTGTTGCAAACCTGATTCACTTGATCAAGCTTGCTGATTATATTCAGGCGCACATCAGGAAATTCATCCTTCAAGAGGGATAGAAAAATTGGAAGAAGCTGTTCGATTGTGGCATCCTGCATTGACAAATAAAATAAAGTTCAGAAATCCATTTCCAGCAATTTAGAACATTATGCATTCATGCACTAGGAATTGAAACAGGACATATATAAAATAACCAAGGACAGTTGACAAGATCATATAAAAAAAAATAGCATTTCTTAAACAAACTTAAAACAAGTGATGCAGACAACAAAGGAAGCAAAACTTGGGTCTCTTTGTACACAAGGATATTTCTGTAATTTTTGGACAATCTAGAAAATTGTCCAAGTCTAGGTTTTATTTTCTATTTAGTATTTTATTAGTCTGAAAGAATAATTAGCTTTATTAGATTTTTCCTATTCTACATAGACTTAGTATTTTCTTACTTACGAATCTAGAGTCCTTATTGGATTTGGACTACTAGAACTCTATAAATAAGCATGTAGTCGTTCAATATTTTAAAATGACAATTTATGAATAAAATCCCAGCAATTTGCTTTTGATTGTGTGACTCAATCTCCCTTAGGTGTGACTCATAAGAACCATAAGCGTGAAGATTAGGTTTTTCTATCCTCTAGGTGTGACTCCTAGAAACCCTATTACTGTGACTCTACTAGTTCTATAATTCCCAGCAGAAATCCACATCAATACAGACCCAAACAGCCCTAAACAATCTCCAAAAGTCAGATTCAGAACAGCCCCTAAGCTGTCCTGCATCAACCAGACAGCTATGAGCCATATAAATTTACAGAAATGAGGACTACTATAATGGCCATCTACATGGCATCTGCAAGAACATGATGTAAATATCCAGGATGAAGCTCAAAAACTTGGCCCCAGAAGATATGTATCTTTCTATATTTAAAAAAATTGTATATATCATTCAAAACTTGAAAAAAAAATGTGGTTCAAAAGCTTCAAATAGTTCAACGTCAGATCAGGACAGGGTCAATTAAATAAATAACACATCTTACTGTACAAGCACTTAACGAACAATGAAAAGGTCTTGGACAGCCCATTACATTACATTCTCACCTTCCCCAAGACAGGAGCCATTCCCATTATAACTGAAGCCAAAGCAGAGCGTACATGCTGGGAAGAATCTGATGACAGTTCCTGGAAAGAAAAATAGTGTGAGAACACTACAACTAAAAGAAAGATCCAGAAAAAAAAAAAAAAAAATCAGTTCATGCTCTAACAAGAAACAATATAGTCAAGTGAAGAATTTTAATGTACGAAATGGATATGCACCTTCACACAGGGGAGAATATGTTGAATAGCAAGTTCTGGACTTAAAATGCGGCAGAATTTAGTTACTTTTCCAGCAGCTGCTATACGTACTTCAGCCTCATTATCACGAAGTAACCGCACATATGCAGGGACCAAGTCCGTCCTTAGAACAATTACCACAAATAAATTTTTTTGATTAAGGTACCACACCATCACCAGATCACCATCAAACATAGAATTGAAAATTAACAAAAGAAAATTGGCACAAAAGTGCATATGCATTTAGTCCAGCAGTTTCAAGTTAGATATACACCTGGTAGGCTCAGGCCCCACAGCTTCACAAAGTTCATATAGTTGATTTGCAACCATGTAGCGTACACGCCATGACTTGTCCTGCACAAAGACAATAACACTTGATCCAAATATGAACAAATTGAAGATAAAAGCTAAAAGCTTGCAGAATCAGCAAACAGATATCATATTACAGGTCCCACTAAACATATAAACTTTTCCCTCCCATATGGTATCACATTGGTAACAGAATTTTATCCAGTAAACCACACTAAGACTTTCAAAATATTTGACGTCATCCAGTCTAAATTTCATTCCTCATCCTAGCTAATTCATACATATCTCCCAAGTTGTCAATGACTGCCAGCTCATATTTAGGCGCAATAGGTCTAAATCAGTGTTACCCAGAACTTGGTGCCTTCTGGGTTGTGGTAAAACTACAGGACATGGCACAAGCATTAATTTATGGTACGTTGGGGGGTTACTTGGTACGTTAGTTTGGAAGGTGGTATGCTTTAAAGTTCTTCCTAAGGGTTGAATCTGACACAAGGAAAAATATCAGGCATATCTATATTTATCTGTCAAGTATAATGCCTAAGGCAATATACCAAGCGCGGTGGTAGTTAAAAAAGCAAAGAATTAGAAATGCATAGGAAACTGCCATTACTTTTTCCTTGCCCTTGAACAAAGAATGCAAAGAAGTGAGGTCGCCATATTGGGCTGGAACACATATGTACCACGAATCAAGACATGTGATCCAGATCAAGGCTCCAGGGGGTAGCATTATCCTGCCTAAGGCAATAGACCAAATGTGGTGGTAGTTAAAAGTGAAAGGAAAAAGAAATGCAAGTAAGCTGCCATTACTTTTTCCCTTGCCCTTGAACAAATAATGGAGAGAAGTCAGGTTGCCACATTGAGCTGGAACACAGATGTACCATGAATCAGGACAGATGATCCGGATCAAGTTTCCAAGGGGGTAGCATTATCCTGGTAACTCAAATCACCTTATCGACAATTTAATAAAACAAAGAGAAGAAAATATCAATCTTTAACGTCAATTACTCAAAAAAATGTTCTGTGACATACTATTTTCCACTAATTAAGAAATGACTAGTCTGGACATCACACACCAAACAACAATGAAAGACTAAGGGAATACCAGCAAAATATACAGAACACAGAAAAAGCATAAACTACATTGTTCCTTTTGTTGTATCCATAAACTTCATTAATACCTGAGAGAAATTAACAATAACAGGAAGAATATGTGCAATGCAATCCTGAGGCTCCAATAATTTCCCAAGAGCAGCACAACCCTCGACAGCCAATAAACGAACAGAATCTTGATCTGAGGAATAAAAAAAGAATATAAATAGTTCATACATGAAGCACTCCAAACATATCAAATTAAAAATGCAAGTTCAAATCACTACCAATTAAGGCATCACATATATCAGAATATTATGTCAAGATGATATAATTTGTGATATCAAGTTTATTTCTCATGCATTGCTGACCATTCCACCATTCCAAGTCAAAACTTTATATGTTTTCCATGTGTGGTCAATCATTTAATAGTAGTTATCTTAACCTTATTCCTTTTTCAACATGCCCAGATCAAAGCACATTTCTTTCTCCAAGTTAAAATTTCAATTACCATCTTGGGTAAGATCCTCAAAAATTGACATGATATCAGTCTTCAAGTGTGCAGGTTCAACAGTGGCAGCAAACTTCCCCAAATTAGAAGCAGCAGACCTCCTAACCATGGGCATGTCATCTTGACACAGCTGGCTGTATATTGACCGCAATTCTGTCTTCAACATGTCCGGGGCACTAGGGTAGGCAATATGAAATAGCCCACATGAAGAAACTCGAGCTGTAAACCATTCCCCAGCTGCTAGTCTCTGAAGATAAAATTTAACAGTAAGATCATGGAGTTGGCAGAAGCAAGTGCAGGAGAATAAAGGAAATTAGTAGTTAACACAAATATAACACAGCCAAAAGTGCAATACATTTCACTCCGCAGGGGGTTCAACACAAGTGCAAAACCTCCCTCTTTCCCAAACATACATACAAACACAAATAAGTGCAATAGCAGACTACAATGTGACACACATGCACACAGATATCATTAAGTTAAGTAAGGGATAAACCTTGAACATACTGAGTTAATACAGATTTAAGATATAAGTCGAATAAATTGGAACTCTGGAAGAATCAAATTGTCATTCCAAGCTGCTACAGATTCAAACTAATTAGTTTTCTATTTTGTCTATTTTAATTTTCCTGGCATCTTACTATCTTTGAAAGAACAGAAAAAAAGGAAAATAAAAAGTGGCACTCATTAAGATGAGAAACGGCAATATCTGGTAAATAGGAAAGGCATAAGTAACAAAATTAAATATAACAATCTAGCAAAGAGCAACGTGGTTTTTCAAGACATTGAAGATCGTAATGTGTCTCTTCAAGCAGTACGCGAACGAAAAATCATTATGCCAGACAGGTAGGTACAATTAAATCTTCATTGTAACCATAAGGAATTAGCATTATCTATTAACTCAGCAAAAAAATAAAAACAGTTATATGACCTTGACAAGAGGAATGAACCAATCAACCAAGTCAGTCTCCCTCATCTGAGATCCAATCCTACACAACGACTCCACAGCTTTATCTCTCACACATGTTTCCTCAACAGTGCAAAGAGTCTCCAAAGGTGGGAGCAAAACATGGGCATACTCAACTCCCCCGACGTAAGGAATAAACACCCCCAATTCCTCTGCCATCGCAAGGAGTACTTCATCATCGTCGTCATTATTTTCACTCAAAAATGGAATTAACTCCTTCCGGGTTCGTTCCTCCCCGAGAGCACGCGCAATAGTCGATAGCCTACGAATTGAGTTTAACCGTAGCTGAATGTCATCATTCTTTAACTCATCTATCAAAACAGCTATAGGATATAGCGGTTCTTCCATCGTAGACATTGTATCCAAGATCTGTAACAAACCCTATAATTCAAATCTAGAAGAAATGTATCGATTCATGAATATATTATAATAATAAGTAATAAAAAGCAAATCAAATTGAGATTGTCTAAAGAGGAAACAAGCTAATTTTGCAAGTTATAACAAGAAAATGAAACCGTTCTGATTTTGAAAAAATAAATAAATATTAAAGAATTTAATTTGATACGGTTTAAGGCAGTCTTTTCTTTGGAAACCGAGCAGAGAAGTTAAGGATTCAAAAATAAATACAATTGAAAGAAGTTTAGAGTGCTCTTGCCGATCTGAAATGCGTTCCCGCCGGCTGCCTCTGATTCGTTGCAGAAGCTGAGAGGGATTGAGAAAATTTATGAACCTATTTTTATTTGATTTTTGTGCTGTGCCTTTTTTTTTTTTTTTTTTTGGGGGGGGGATTAGATTTATTTATTTATTGTTATTGTTAATGTCAAACGATCTTAAAGCGAGGCCCGGTTTTGTCATGTATGTAATTAGATCCTTATAAACCAATGGGCTTGGACCAAGCAAATTACCCGGATTCTTCTTTTGGGCCTGCGAGAGATTAAAGAATTTATTATTAACACTTTTTCATTCTAGGTTCCCCCCTGTCTTTGAGTCGAACAAACTATACAAACACAGTACAATTCAGTCATCCTACAGAAAAATATATATATTATTTTAGTAATTTTAACCGTATAATAAAATTCAGTATTATATAATACAACAGTGAACTTATCACATAAGTTTAATAAATTTCTTTTTTTATTTATAGAAAAGAAGTTCAATGAGCAGTCAGTTATAGCCTATGGAATGAGATGTAACAATTTTCTATTCTAAAATTATATCAACAAGTAGGATATGAAACTGACACTTTTTTATAAATATTCTAAATTTTAAACTCCATTTGGAATATAAGTTTAATACATATCATGCGATTACAATTTAAGCAATGTGTTTTTTCTTTTTATTTTTAGTGCGATTAGTCGCAAAAGACAAACAAAAGTACTACGAGAATTACGAATATTAATAAATAACTAAATTAATTATTCTGATTAAGGGTAATTGATGTATGGAAGGAATATATGTATTATATAGTCTCTCACTAGATTGATAATTGTATATAAAAAAAAAAAAAAAAATTATCGTGTCACAATTAAAGTTATCTTGTCATATTCTGGAGGACGAATCAACAAAGAAGTTTGAATACCTGGGCCAGGAAACCCAACTTGGCAGATTAATGGGTTTTGAAATTTGGGCCAACGCAATTACCAAGGTAATGCTTAAGCTCAGAACTCAAGCAAACCGGAGATTATTCACCAGACTTCTGCCAGCAAGCATTTTCCCTCCGCTATCCTACGAGGAAAATGCAACTCTGGCGGACTGCCAGTCGAGAGCTTCTCACTATGTAGTTTCCTCATTCCTGATTCTTCCATTACCATAGCACATTCAAGCTTAAAGTTCATCTTTACTTGCCCAAATGTACAAGCAAGTATTTTCCCTCTGCCTTTAATAAATATGAGCATTCACCGTGCATTTTCCCCATTCCTGATTCTTCCATTATCATAACACATTCGAGCTTAAGTTCATATATTCTTTACTTGCCCAAATGTACAAGCACGAATGGATCAGTTTGGGCCGTAGCCTGTGGGGGTGTCTTTTATGCAATCTGTCTTCTATATCTCAGAAAATGTCATAAATGAATTTTCTTTTCAGTCATGAACTGATTCCCTCTCAAGCAAATGAGGTAGTTTCAAAAAGATTATAAGGGTTATTAAAGATGCAAATTAGTTTGTTACTGCCTAAAAGAAAGTTCTTTATGCTCATATTGTATCTGATCATGGAATCAATGGCTGTTTCTTCGCTATCAATATACTCAATAATCACAAATGCTTACACTAAGCCTCCCTCAAAATGCACAATGAAGCAACAGAAGGGTGATATAATACTGGCATTCATCTTCTTGTTTGCGAAACCTTCTTTCATTGGCATTACAAAAATGAGAAATAATCACCTATGACAATAACGTACTCCTGTATAATTGTGCATCCATAATTCTTGTGTTATTCAGAAGTCAGAACAAAAATAAATAAACTCAAAGGCAGCTCCATTTCCTCTTCAAAGGCTGGATACTCCACTCCAGAGATGCTTTACAACCTCAGTACTAAACCCTCTCCTTCCGAAACCAACCAGAAAAAAATCGGTATGTCAGACTAATATAGTCACCCCCAAGGAATTTCCCAGTTAGAGATCGAAAAGAAAATTGATAGTCAACCAATTTATCAGAATCTTTGCGTCTGAAAATGAAAGCAGCTTCTCAATCTGGTCCAAAATTCATCTGCCATTTTTTTCCTCTGATGTGTCTATAGGCTCCTTGAAATTTGCTTTCTCACTAAGCTCTTGAAATTCAGCGATAAGATTTTGTAGCCTTGCTACAAACTCTATCAACAACGATGTGAATGTTGCCAAGGACAAGGAACTGGCACTCTCATATACTTTTGATTCTTCTTCAGAGATCATGGAACCACCTGTAGAGGAGGAGAGATGGGGCCATGATACTGGCTGCTTGAACATACTTTCTGTCATGGAAGGGTTGATGCTTATATTTTGATTCTGAACATCCAGCCATGTTTCGCTACTGGAGCTAATCAGTTTATTTTCGTCATCTTTGACTTCAACAAGGTTCTTTGGATCTTCAAATCCTTTGTCTGGTCCTTCAGCTACCCAGCTTTCTGAATTGACCAAAAGGTAGGAATTTCGGTCTATCTTCATTTGCAACTCTTCTGCTGCCTCATGCACTTCTAGCAGGATGTCAGCTCCTGGACTTAACTTTTCCATCTTTTCAACTTTTTTTCCAAGCTCTCGTAATACTTTAGCTCCTTCATTACCAACTCTTTGAAGCTCACTACTGAAAACTTGTCTCTTTTCCGGTGGTGCCTACATAAACAAATTTATAGAATCTGGTATAAATGATTAGTATAGATGATTTAACATGAACAGTCTCATGGAATATGCAGCCTGCAAGCTAATGATCCTTGGTTGCATACAGCATTAAGACAAGCAAACATCAACAGCACCGAAAACTAGTTTCTTTATAATGGAATTTGACAAGATTTCAAGTCAAATGATACAGAAATGCCTGAAAATTGTCAGAAATTTCATTTATTTCATTAAAATAAAATAGATGAGATTTGATTTTTCCTCAGTGATAAAGCAGATGCTAAGCATGTCCAATGATCAGCACATATAATCAAAGACTAGTTTATAGCCCTCTTTTTTACCAGAAAGAAAAGATTTAGCTAAGGGCTGAAACTCATTCTTTATTTGTCTATTCATAAATGATTAACTGAACTTCTAGTGAAGCAATTTCAACAAAATTTCACTGAACCAAGACAGAATGTCTAGCAGTGTTGCCATTTATCGGCTATGTGCTTCTCATAGAAACTCCAGTAATCACTTTCTTCAAATCCGTTTTAGCATTATGAAGTACAAAATTTATAAGAACAGGAAGATTAATATGAAAAACTGAGAACACAGGAATATTTTGCAATTTCTAGATTCACAGAAACAGGCCTTCTAAACCCCTTCTACATGATAATTATCTCTCCCTTTGTCCTGTAACTCCTGTTATAGAACCTAACATATAAAAGATAATTTTGTTTGAGATAGATGAAACAAATACTTACAATTCACAGCAGACAAGCATTGCACCTAGACCCCTTTGATCTTTCAATTATTTTTGGTTATGTAATGCTATCCAGCTAGCTATATTATAACACCCTTCTGTCCTTTAACTCACCAACAAAACCATCAGGCTAATAACGGATAAAAAATAAGTTCTTTTATCTTATGTTATGAGGATTATACAATAACAAAATGCATTTTATTCACCACTAGGAAAAACCAAGTGAAAGCCACTATGCTGATGTGATAATTAGTAACAAGTTAATGACATGGCTAATAACTCTCTTACTAAAAGACGTGTAAGATGATTAAAGACTCAAGCAGGCATATCCAGACTCATCCTCCAAAAGCACCTGAAAAGCCTGATTCAAGGAAGGATAAAAGCGATAACCAACAGCCTCCATCATTCAAAACTCAAACATGAAAATGTAAACAAGTCATCGGGCTGCATCCTACAGAGAAAATGCTCACAAAGTTATGAATCAACAACAATAATGAAGTTTACCTGAATTTCTGAGAGGATGCATCCGTGCATTGCCATGACCATAAATGCACAATGCCTCAATGCTCCGCTTACTTGTACATAGTTTTTCCAAGGATAATTGAAGGATCTATAAGGACCGTGAGGTGGCTCCCAAATTGCAAAGCTTAACTGGAGAAAAACAAGATAAAGTTGAAATCAGTAATACCTTCACCTCTGTAATCTTCTGAAAGAATAGGAATGTATGCCTGTTATGCGAAACATACTAGAGATTCCTCTTGGGTGGTAGATTGCACAGCAGATCTGTAGCCACTGTACAATAGGTCATCAGAAGCTTGGTATATTAAAATCTTTGATGGGATTCTCTCATATTCCACACATTGCAGATATCCATTAACACAACCTGAAGAAGGTTAAACTCTATTAAAAGAAAATATTGGCAGTAATATTGAAGAAACAAAGTAAACAGCAGTAGAAAAAATATTAAAGCTTGATCCAACCTTCCAAGGAAGTAGCAACACCATTGAAATTTTTCACCACTAATTTATGAAGATCTTCCCCTGCCCATATGGGAAGTATACAAATGTTTACAGCCAAACATATCCCAGCCCCAATGGCAATGAGCAACAACCGATAAACAGCTGTTTCGAAAAACGATGATGAGCTCCCAGACACTGTTACTATGCAGTACGTCAGCAAGAATACCCTGAATCCGTATTCATAAGGCTTCATGGTAGGGTACAATTTTACATAGCTTGCAGAAAATCCTAAACATCACAGAAAAAAAAAAAAAAAAAAAAAAAAAAAAACCAATAATTCAAGAAATTAAGGGATTTAATATGATAGAAAATAAATGCTTATAAGGTCAAATTTCATTTCCAATATAGGTCTAAAGCTTTAACCTGCGATAAAAATACAGATTACGAGAACAACTCCTCGAAAAGCTCCAGCATGCAAAGCGAACTCAGCAATGCCAATAGCCAGAGCACCGGCAGAAAATGTCCCTAAAGCACGATTGAATCCTTTGCTAAGTGTTGCTCCTGGAAAACAACCAACCACAATCAAAACCACCTCAATATCTTGAAAAGATAAACCAAATCAGAAAAAGGAAAAACACAATAGAGAGACATCTAGTCAGTTTCATGACTCAAAAAAAAAAAAAAATGACAGACCTACACTGAATTCAAAAACGACGACGACTGTCAGAATTCCCCAGATTGAGTATTGGCTAACGTCCTTGAGATGTTCGCTCAAGAATATGAATAATGAAGCAAGAGCTAGAGACAGGCCCATCTTGGCAGCGAAAATGAATTTTCGAGGATCTGCGTGACCCATCTTATATAATACAATAGCAGAATTCTGTACAACATTCCAAAAGCTGGTGATCCTATCAGATAGTGATCGAAAGCTCCAGCATTTGACTGCTTCTTCATCATTGTAGTAGCTGTTCAGGCCAAAGTCCGAGTACCCTTTTCTAGAGAGCAACCTTTCCTTGCTCCTTTCTGCAAAGCTATGCCTAAAAGATCCAATTTTGGTAGCCATTTCTTTATCAGAACAAGAAAAGAAATGACAATTTAGATGTGCATAGAACAAAATTCAAAGAATCAACATAGAGCAGCGGTTAAAAAAAAAAAGTACGAAAAATTAGCATATGAGTGGGCGGAACACATGGAAAGATCCTCTCTCCCAGGGACAATTTTTTGCCTCCCAAAATTATAAATGACGGTATAAAATCTGTGAAAACAGTACGTGCCTATGAAGGCAAGAAAGAGTGATAAACGTTGTAGTTTTTTAGATGTTTGAAAGTTAGTTTTAGACGGGCAGAAAATGCCAGCTCCAGTCATTCGAATTTTTGCCTCACCCTCGTCCCCTCGGAAAATAACCTGTACTAGCTAGCCTAGGCATGGGGACCAATTAATGATGCAGTTGCAAGAAACAAAAGGCTGTACCAAATGCAAACTATTCTATTTGTTTGACACAATCTATGCAAAGTTTTCGGTGATTAACAATTTTCAGAGTTAGAGACCAAAAAAAAAACAAGAAGAAATCAATGGCTTGTTGCTTAAAAACTATTATTATTTGCAAGAAAACATTTTGAGAGAATGCACATCTAAAAGTTTAAAATAATAATACAGTTAATATTATTGCTTTACATAATTCGTATACCATTAACGATATATTGCTGTTTAAACTTGGAATGCGACACAACTTCATGTTTCAATTTATTTGAAGTGATATTCTATTGATTAGAAAAGCATAGTGGGTAGGGTCCCTTTTTCTCACATTTATACATCAATGGTTAAGGATATTGCCGTGATTGCGACTGATAATTTTGTTGGACCATTATAAAGACAGTTCTCATTTACCGATGATAATGGCGGCTCAAAGCTCCTTAAAATATATCTCCTCCCTTCTTGCTGACATGGCGAATTATTTCAGCAACGATAGGAAGCGCGCCTTCTGCTCTCTGCTCTCTGCTGACATGACTGGTCTTCCATTACTCTATAAATAGCGTACAGTCATGTCCAAATCAACCCCATATATCATTATAACGATATTCCGCTTCCATCCTTAATTTTTTAAAATTCGAATTTTGGAATAAACATCTATCAAAATTTATTCATCTTACAACATCATATATATATATATATATATATATATATATATATATATGAAGATGAAAAAAGAAGTGTAAAATTTATCGTGACTATGTAGTTGAATTTTGGCATTTGCCATAACCCTCCCCCCAAATAAAAGCCATCATTCATTGGACTGGATTTTGGAAAGATCACGAGTGTGAAAAATCAACCAAACAATTGCTGAAATAAAGGATACTTTTTTCTTTTCTCTTTTTCGGGGGTGGGGGTGTTTGGGTGGGCTGGATGGATAGCTTTTCCAGCCACAATACCCACTTGAGTGATAAAGTGTTGATGTGGATAAATTGTCTATGCAATTGAAAAATAATCAAAACTTGGGAAAATATATATATGCTGCAAGCTAGTATAAGTAATAACAAAAAAAAAAAAAAGGTTAATTACACATTAATCCTTAACTTATACAGCCACTCATGAATCAAATCAATCCGTAATAAAATATTGCAAGTTTGTCCCCAACTTTCTGTCTACATCCTTTCTGTTACGTACCGTTAGCTCCAGCTAGCATAATCCAGTAGTGGTGCGTGCACCCAGCATATGAATTGTATGATTATGAAAATTGATTAGAAAAATCAATATTAGCAAGAAAACTTTTGTTAAAAAAAAAAAAAATAGAGTGCTTACTATTTAATTACTATTCATCTATATTCATATGCATTATTTATTAGGCATTATTGTAATTTTCTCATGTGAATTATCCACTTAGCATCGTTGTACTTTTTCCCTTTTGTTCATACATTTACGATGAAATTGTTGTAATTTTTGCTTTTTGTTCATGCATTTTTTATTGTATTAGTGTGATTTTCAGCATTTGTTCATACATCTAATATAAAGTTTCATCAAATGTTGCATTTTGGTTCTTGATTTTTTTTTTCAAAAAAAGAGAGAGAATTGATTGTAATACTTGTAAAGCTTACGCCTGAGAATCAGGTATGTATGGATTAGAAATAAAAAATATTTGTTAAGAAGGAAGGAAAAAATGGAACCCACATATTTTATTTACTTCCTTTTATATGATCAAAAATTATTAAAATTAATTTTATTAGTGTTTTTTTTATATTAAAATTTACTATGCATATGCATACAAAAAACACATAACATTTACACTTAAAAAAATTGGATAATTAAAAATCAATTTTCCTCAAAGAAAATAATTAAAATTATATTTTAAAAAAACCCGATAGTACCATTTTTTTCAAATTATATATAACCTAATATACATACTTTTAAAAATTAATCTTCTCATCGATATTCAACAAGGGTAAAAATTTATTTTTAATTTTTATGCAATTTTTTTACATTAATTGTTATTTTATTTTTTCGATGCAATCTTATGAATAAATAATTAAATTTACATATATTTGTTCTTGAATTTTCAACTAATTGAAACTTATATTTTAGATTTTTATAAATTTTTATTTAAGAATTTATGCGTAAAAAAAAAAAGCAAATCATGTTTTTTATGAAGGATATCTATTTAAAAAGATAAAAAAAAAATTAATTAAGTATTATTTTTTAATTAAAAAATCATAAAATTTGGAAACTATTTTTTCTTTGTGTTCGATAAAATTTTAGTAGACTTCCAATGGGATGAGAACTATCAAACTATAATTATTTTTATAAATAATTTTATCTGTTTTATACAATATGCAAGGTAAGGCCAGCAACCAAATAGTTTTATCCCAAATGGATACCAATGCTATGAGCAGGCAGAGTTGTCATTTGCCTAGCATGGAAAAGCATAAAATCCAATCACGAGGGTCGCATGAAATCAGCTCTGGATATGTCTGCTTTACCTTTACTTTATACGAATTACACATGCTTTTTTCTGCATTTCATTGAAGTGAGTTAGTGTAATCTCAACTTAGAAATCCAAGTTATGAGAGACTAATTCCAACCTTATCATATACTGACCATAAAAAAACACTGTCCTACGAAGACAAAAATGCATTGCTTTTCCACATAAATTAATTTTCAGCTGAGAAAACCAGTCAAAATTGTGAAGGTGCTATTTAATCCTCATTAAAAAAATCCAATGTTATTTTGTTTTGCTAGCTAAAGTGTGCAAAATCCAAATAAGAACCAAGTTTAGGACTAAGAATACAATAAAGAACATAATTATTTATGCAGTTCACCAATGGGCCGGGACTGTATACATGACTAAGGATATACATATACATATTTGGTTTTTTCAGAGGTTCAACTGGTCTGGGACCATGATTTTATTTGAATTGCATTAAAAAAAAAAAAAAAAGGTTTCTCCTAATCACTTCCTAGGAGAAAAAATATATATGATTCTTCTCCTAAATACAGCTCCTAATTTTGTAACCCGAAGCACCTAGACAGAATGATCCAAAACCCAGCTTTCTTTTTAACAACCGCAGAGTTCATAATAGGCTCCGCGAAGTTGGCTTTCTCACTCAGTTCTTCAAATGATTCAACTACATTTTGAAGCCTTGCAGCAAATTCAATCAAAAGCGAAGCAAATGTTGCTAAAGATAAGGCACTTGCACTTTCATATGATCTGCACTCACTTTCTTCGATTCCTGCATCGGCATTGAAAGAAAAACAGGAAGGCCGAGATGCTTCTTTCGCAAACAAATTATGTTGAGAGTCTTTCGAAGGTGTAGAAAGAGTAAGTGACCTCAAGTCCAATACTGCTTCACTTGCGGACTTAAATCCCAACATAGTATTCTCGTTCTCTTTAAGATTTTCAAGGTCTTGAAATACCTGAGGATGTCTTGCAATTTCCCAGCTCTCAGAATTGACTAGAAGGTACGATTTTTGGTCTATCTTCTTTTGTAGTTGCTCTGCTGCTTCATGCACCTCTTTTAGTATGTCTCCAGGGCTTAGTTTTTCCATCCTCTCTAACTTGCTTCCAAGCTCCTGCAAAACATTTGCACCTTCTTCTCCAACTCTCTGGAGCTCACTACGAAAGACTTGCCGCCTTTCTGCAGGAGCCTGCAAGCGCAAATTGCTTTCTTGTAATTTAATTCTAGCCGTGCATGCATTCCAGAAACTCATCAGTTTTTCTGAGCCTAATTGAATCAGTTTTAAAATAGACTGCGCCTCGAGGATGCCGGATAAGAAGCCTCTTAGTCATTGACTAGTAGTACCATTAGTATATACTAGTATAGCTTGATTCTAGAGTTGAGAGTGAAAGGAATTCCTCGAATAATCACCTGTATTTCTGACAGAATGCATCCATGTAGAGCCATGGCCATAAATGCACAATGCCTCAGTGCACCACTCACTTTGACATAGTTTTTCCAAGGATAATTGAACATTCTGAAACGACCGTGAGGTGGTTCCCAGATAGCGAAGCCAAACTGCAGAAATGACAATCAGCAGTTAGTACATGTGTTGTACAATGGACTAACTATTGGCATTGGTTATCTAATATCAGAATACCAGAGTATCTTCTCTTTTTGTAGATTCCAGCACCGATCGGTAGCCATTGTAAAGTGGATCATCATAAGCTTGGAATGTCAGGATTTTCGAGGGAACCCTTTCGTATTCAACACATTTCAGGTACCCATTAACACAACCTAAAGAACAGAATATGCACTCACAAATGAACAATATGCCTCTTTACACAATGATATAATTAACAGACAGCTAAAGCCAACCTTCCAGGGAGACAGCCAGGTCCGTGAAATTTTTCACCACCAAACTGTGTAATGCATCACCGGCCCAGATGGGGTATATAAACACATTTACGACAAAACAAACACCAGCACCAAGTGCAATAAGTACTAATCTAGTTACGACCGCCGTGGTGTATTCCCGTGTTCGATTCCCAGCAACCATAAGAATGCAGTAAGTTAATATGAATACTCGAAAACCATAATCATAAGGAGCCATTGTCGGGTACAGCCTCAAATAGGATGACAAGAACCCTAATTACCACAAGAAAAGGTAAGTAAATTTAGAACATATAGCACAAAATTTCTTGAAAAAAGAAATTAGATATGTCGATAGATCAATATTAACAGATCAATGGAATACAGACCTGCAATAAAAATAGTTGAAACAATTAGGACTTCTTCTCCTTGACCGGCAGCCAAAATAGAGAGCTCAGCACAGGAAAAGGCAAGAATTCCAGCACATATTGTGCCCAATACACGATTAAATCCTTTTATAAATGTTGCTCCTGTACATAATGGTGATATTGCAGATCACTCTAATCAGGAATTATATATGACAGTTGCATTGCTATTGAAACAAATTAACTTTCTTAAGTTCAGTAAGGACTGCATTGATTCTTCTTTTTGTTTATGAAACTAGATTGATAATCTTGGACAGTGGGCTTTTTTTTTCCCCCAAACAGATCAATTGCACTGATTATTACCTAAAATTTCAAATTAATTTAAATATTTATGATGATACAGTTTTAAAGTCAGGATAAAAAGATTTTAGGGATGATATCCAAAAGAAGAAACAAAACTAGAACAAATTTCTTACGATCTTGAAAGTCTTACCTATGCTGTATTCGAACATCACAATGACAGTTAAGATTGCCCAGATTGAATACTGAGAAATGTCCTCTTTGAATCCTTTCCAGAATATGAGCAAGGATACAATTGACAATGCTAATCCCATCTTGATAGCAAATATGACTTTCTTGGGATCAGAACGACCCATTTCCCATGCTTTCACTGTAAAATCTTGGAAACCTTTCAAAGACTTGCTGACCTTTTCACTTAACAAATTGAAAAACTTGCATTTCCTTGTTTGTTCAACATCTCCGTTCAAGTTGCCCAAAAGAGGCTGCCATTCTTTAGTAGTTTCCGCGTAGTTATGCCCATATGGCGCCATTTTCACCAATTTGTTAATTAACTCGTTCTTTCTTCAACTGAAGATTCACTGTGCAGTACCATCATTCCATTACGAACAGAAACAATAACAAATAATAATAATAATAATAATTGATGAAAGAATAAAATAGAAGCTGAGGTAACATAAATAGCTATACAAGCAAAAACTGTAATCAGCATGTTGAGTTACATATATATGCAAGTGGGGATCCCGCATCAGTTTGGAAACAAAGATAATAAATAAAAAATTGAAGTGATTCTATACAAAAAATGGACCTATAATGCAACAGCTTAAATTTTGGATTAAATACCGGTGTTCATCAATGTATAAAAACCATCACGTACAGGACATGGTATAAGCCTAAAGTGACTCACAAGAAGAAGAAGATTCTGCTATACATAGCACAGCCTATTCTTTGACCTAAAAGAATAGCATGGTGCAAGCAGACTTCTTTGAAATCAAAGAAGAAGATAGAGTATGGTTCTTGGACATAAACTATTGTCATATAACCGACTGATTAGAACTCTTATCCAGTGTGCAGGATCGGGTTGGTGTTGCAAAAAGGCTTTCAGTACTTAAAGCTACTTCATTTGCAGTTTATTCTTACAATATTAGCAATCACGGAAGCATTTCGAAAAATACCACAGGAGATATTTTGATTCTTATCTGAAACCCCAACTAACAAAATCTTGAAAGTTTGTTGCCACGGGATCCAAATGGGCCTCGTTTAATATAGATCAGGCTCAACACGCTCATCAGTCACGATCAAGCGAACGGAGAGAAAAACATTTTTTTTAACAAAAAATAGTGTCGCATCAACAGGAAAAATTGCCCTCTTTCACACAAGACATCGGAGGGAAAGACATGTTAACCGATCATGATGCGTCAGCGCTTTTGAGAAAATATCAAAACTTACCTGGTCCACCCAATATTATATTTTTTCAAATAATATGTTTATATGCTATCTTACATGGCGATTTGGCGGCCATATTATTCTAGGCGAGCTACTTTTGCTACTTTGTTTTGGATGCAAAAAGCAAAAACCAGAAATTTACTAGCTAAGATTAAGACAAGACCGGGGCCACTGAGTCCTGCAGAAATCACACGTAACAAATCCAGACAACCCAAGTACGGAACACTTTTGCTACTTTACCCTTGATAGAAGCAGCTGACTATTCTCACCTTTCTAATGGCACTTTCGTTAATTTGCGAACTGAATATTGCCGCATGATAAAAATTGACCTTTGTTTTTCTTGCTGCAATATTCAGTGTTGGAAACCATCATATCGGCAGGGTCTTCTCCGTTAGTGGACTTGAAAATTTAATCACATCATTTGCAAATTAGGTTTTATGAAAAAATAATCAAATCAAATACACATAAATATAAAATAAATTAATCACAAGAATATAATTATAAAAATGTAAAATTTACGTCGAAAACCTTCTTTATAATAGAGAAAAAAATTACGAATCAATTATAAAATAATTCGTTATAATTAAATATATATATATATATATAATAAATTAAGTTTTTTTTTGTGAAATTGAGAAATAAAAATATTATCAATAATATAAATTGTCTAAGTAAATTTTTTTTGTCACAAAAACTTGAAATTTGTCAAATTTATATGTTTTTACAAATCTCATGACAGCACAAAATCATCATTTTAAATATTATAATTTTTTGTGATATTGGTACCCAAAAATCAATGTTAGGGAAAGTTTCAATATTTTATGCATAGAAAATTCTTGTTTTCTTCGTATAGAATTTGTCAAAAAAACAAAAAAACCTTGTTTTTGTTTTTTCTATTCTCTCCAATTGCTCTCCCTTGGCAACCATAAGAAAAGGAAAAAAAAATGAAATTCTTTCTTTCAACTGTACAAAAAAGAAAGTCAAATTATTTCTATTATATAGATGTGTAAGCTAAATAGGAAAAACAAAATAAAAAGAAATTCCTTTCTAGTTTCACAATAGTTTTTATTTATTTTTATTTTTTTTTGAACTTCAATCTTTTTCTTGCTTAATATTTTTCCTAATTAATATCTTAATGACTTATGCTAAGGCCACTCATAGGTTGAACCAATACCATCTACTCAACAAATCTCTCCTTCCAACTCATAAGAGAAAAATCTCAACTCGTCATCTAGAGTAAATGCTAACCATACTGGCAGATAATCTATCCTTATCTTACGCTATCAATTTTATGTTTATATCAACAAGATCTTTATCTCGAAAAATAATTGTCAATGTCATCAATTGTCTCACCATCACCTCACAAAATCAATGACACCGTCATCTTTAAAATTTGATTTCGACCTTTATCATAAATCAACACATTACGAAAGTTATTTATCTCATCCTCATCCATCAACAAGACATTATTGAGACTAAAAATCTTGATAAAAGAATGACATTAACCAATAGATCTACTCATTTGAAACTCTATATTTTGCGAGTTGAGGGTCCTGCTTCTTAAGAGGAAACACTAATTAGTTTTAATGAAAACTTGATTTTGTTTCTATCTTTTGAGTTCGAATTGGTTTCTTAATTTTTTTGGTTCGGTTAAATTCAAAGACCGAATTATATATATACTCTTAGTCTCTTTTATAATGAAGTCATCTACCCCTAATGCCTTTATACACACCGAGAAAAGACACACCTTTTATTTCCTTCGATCGACCACCTCACTCACCCATAGGTGACAGTCCACTCCACTCTCATAGTCTCATTCACTCGTGTCCCAACCCTTCTATTAATTAGAGAAAGTTTCTCGCTCAATTATGTCTCTTTCTTTCACTTTCGACTTTCACAATGAGTTCATCACGAGTGATGCCCTTTCCTTCAATTAGTCGATTTCCATACTCATTTTCGTCTCTCACTCTTAGTCAAGCGGCCACTCACTTCATCATCATTCTTGATTTTAGGGTGAGATTTGAAATTTAAAATCTAAATTCGGTATGGGTTTGAATGTAGAAAATTAAATTTTGAAATCAAAATTTGATGTGGGTTTGAAAAATTGAATGGGTGAAACTTACATAAAAGAATTTGATATGGGTTTGAATAATTGAAATTTAAAATAAAAAATTGAAGACTAGTATTTCTAGTGCTAGTAGTTTCTAGCAAGTAGTCTAATTTAGCAATTAGTATCTAGTTGTTAATGAAAATATGAATAGTAGCTTTTTAAGTTTATTTGGTTATACTATAAATATATATATATATATAATTATTTACATAGATGTCATAACCTAAAGTTGTGAGTTCTAGCAATCCACGAACAAGCACTCCATTATCACGAACAACCTCCCATTCTTTAGAATGAATATGGATTTAAGACATAAAATATAATGGCATATTAATTTGTTTGATTGTTTGAGCATCTTCAGCAAGTCTATATTTTAATTTGGTCATTTGGGTGTTAACATAAAAAAAAAATCACTTTTAGTCGGAGAATTGCATTCTCTTTCGCACATTGTTGGTTAAAGAACAACCATCCAAGTTTGGCAAGTCTTTATAGAGCGATGAAGCTTGCCTTTCGTCGAGACGAATGACCTTTTTCCTTCCTTGCTCCACAAGGTAAAGCAATCTCTTAAAAGATCCCTTCTTAGGCAAAGTCCCTCTAAGAAAGGTACAGTAAAAGCTCCTAGCCCCATAGCGAGAGAAGGTTCTATAACACCAATCGGTCCCTAAAGAACAAATAGAGCACCAGCAAGTTCTCTACTAGGATGTCTTTTAGAAGAAATGCCCTCTTTAAATAAAGGAGAACCCTTTATAACATGTTGATGGAAAACCATAATCGCAAGAATAGTAATCCCCGATAAAGAAAGAACCTAGACTATAGGTTCAAAAAAAAAAACTCCAAACCATGCACCGAAGAGGTGCTTAGAACTAGAAAAGTGAAAGACAATCTTCCTTCTCTTCTTCATATGGGCTTAGGCCCGTTCAAACTCATCCTCCTTATAACCCTAAATCTTAGAGGAGATAGTGAAAACCTTGTGCCATCGATACTCTCTTTTGCAAAAACTCCCCTCTTAAGATGTGCTTGCTTCATCAAAGGCTCGCGAGGACTAAGCCTTTATCTAGAGGATTCACTAGCTATAAAGGGAAAACACACATAAAAAACAATAACAAGACTCAAAAATAAAAACAAAAATATGTTGAACATATATCATAAATACTCTATAATCATTGGGCTAAGAGTAAACCTTAGGCTAGAGGATCAACACAAAATGTACCCCCCACACTTTTCACCTAACTCTAAAACGTTAGGTTATAACTCTCATCTAGGGAAGAGCATCGTTGCTATCCACTCTATAATGATTCCGAAAGGGTTATACCCTAACATTAACCAACCTCCTCTGAAGATGTTCGCCTCTCATACATGGCAATAAACCATTCCTCTCTTCGATACATTTGCTTCCCCCATACACACCCTATTTAAGAGACCATCTTTCTTAAGTAGAGGGTATATACATAGGACCTCTTAATGCCTTCTTTATTCCCATCTTTCAACTAAAGGGAATATAAAAGAAGCTTCAAAGACATGAGTATCTTGAGTTACCGATAAAAGGTGCCAAATAAAGCTAGAGCAACCCATTGATGCCAAAATGCTGAAAAGCATTCTCTATAAACTCAAACAAAAAAAAGCCTAAAATTATACTCAATCACGCAAGTAGGAATAATAATTTTAATGCTCCTTTCAAAGGTTCAAAAAGTCAATCTCCTCATCTTATAGTTAAGATTAGGAATACTAGCATGATAATCTGATCGAGAGAAAACTGCAATACTTTCCTAAAAACTCTACCGGGACCTCCATCAATGGGGATAAATATAGGTATTTGAACATCCCGAGAAGGATGAACCGCATCAACATTAAGGATTGACTCCTCATTGCTATAAGCGACCCCATACGCCTCTATGACTCTTCTCAAATCTAACATGCTCAAAGTAAATATAAAAGAGAAGAATCAAAGAAGATTTACTCGTCAAACCTTCACCAAAA